GGCGTGCGTCTCAGACACACTCACATGCACGCCACGCGTACAGATGCTTCCGCGTACGCATGTTTGTCTGGGTGAGTGTACACGCACTGGAGCCATTTCGGGGTCCGGCCTCTTTTGTTTTTCATTTTACTTTTTTTGCGTTTCATGGGATTTTTCTCTTGCTGCTGCTGAGCTTGTGTGTGTGTGTGCGTTGCTGCCGCTGGGCCGCTGCGATTTGTCCCTCTGCGGTGCCTGCGCGCAGAGTGTGGCAGCCGTGTCTCTTCTTCTTCCTCTCCCACTGCCCCAGAGGTAAGCTCCGCACCGCTAAGCGACTCCACGATTGACGGCGACGATGAAGTGCCGTGCGCTGTGCGCCCTGCTGGCCCTTGCGCTGTGCTGCTCCGTTCATTGCTTCGTCGCAGGCGCATCTGCCTCAAAGCCTCCGCTTGCTCCTGCTCCTGCCCGTGCCTCTGCTCCTCTTCCTGCGGCTGTTCCTGCCCCTGCTCCTGTTGCGAAGTCCACAGCCGGGGTGTCGCCGGTGAATGTAACTGAGGCGTTGGTGCTGGCGTTGAAGGCGCTGGAGAAGTCGAATCAAGAGTTGGCGGAGGCCAGAGGGCACTGCGAGGAAGCGAGGCGGAGCGCTGCGAGGTCTCAGGCTGATGAGAAGAGTGCGGAGGATATTTTGAAGAAACTTGACGCGGAGGCTGTTTTGTTGAGCAAGTCGCTGCGGCATGCGAAGGAGGCAACGCAAGAGGCTGCTGCTGCTGTCGCCGAATGTTTGACCGCGGAGAAGGCCGCACAGGCGGCGGAGCAGGAGACGCACAACGCCGTCTTCGAGTTGCTGAAGCTCACGAAGAACAAGTGGGAGGAGAAGGCAGACCAAAAGCAGCTGTTGGCGAAGGCGACAGAGCAGACTGCGCTTGCCGTGAAGAAGGCGAATGAGGCGGAGAAGCACGCGGATGAGGCCGCAGTGGCGGCGGGGAAAACTCATGCAGCAGCCACGAAAGCCGCTGCGGCGCAGAGCTTGGCGCACGATGTTGTCATGACGGCCAAGACATTGCTGCAGAAGCGTGAAGAGGAGGAGAAGAAGCGAAGAGCGAAGGAGCAGGCGGATGCGGAAGCCTCGAAGCAAGCTGCTGTTGCGGAAGTGCTGGAGAAGCTCTCGGTGAAGCAGGCGTCTGCAGGGGCGTCTGGGACAGGCTCCAGCAGCAGTACTACATCTTCTTCGTCTGTGCCGGCGGCAAATGGGAGTTCGAATCCCGTGAATCATCGGAATGGCGCGTCGGCGGACGGCAGCAGCGCTCCATTGTTGTCACGTGCATTGGTTTTGCTGATTGCCGCTGTGGCATCCTTTGGTTGTGCCTGCTTCTGTTAAGCAGCAACAGCACGGCAATGCCGTGCGTGCCAGGCGCATTGATTTCCATTGGGCTGAAACCTTTTTTTTTTATTTGCTTTCTAATTGGCCCAACTTTCTTTGCGGTCGTGAGGCGCTATTTGAGAGAAGAATTTTTTTGTTGATTTGTTACTTTCTGAGGCACTTGTTGAGTTAACTTTTCCGCTCAGCCCGCGACGGCACACATTTGCTTTCGTCACTGTGAGAGATTCTTGCTTTTTTAAGTGAATGGGCCACCGCATAAATAGAAGTAAATACTTTGGCTGCTGTCCTTTTTTTTTCTCTTGCATTTGTTATTCATGTTTTTTTTTTGCTTTTGCTTGCTTTTTTTCTTGTTTTTGTTTTTGTTTCTCTTTTGCTCGTGGGCTTGTGCGCTTATTCCCCACGCATGCACTCCCTCCCCAAGAATTGAACGACAAGATGAGGGTCCTGTTCCGTGTTTCTTTTGGGTTTGTGTGTTCGCTGCCTTTCCATCCTGGGCTTATGGGCCGCAGCAAATAAATGGAGTTAAAACCACGCTGAAATTTTTATGCTTTTATTGCTTTCTGTACGTTTGTGTGTGTGTGTGTGTGGGATGCTGTTGCTGAATTCTTTTCCTTTTGGTTTAATCGTGTAATGTGCGATTCTGTGCGCCCTACGCCCGTTGCGTCGGTGACTCTTGACTGTGCCCGAGTGTTTTGCCCCGCCACGTTGTCTTTTTGCCGTAGGGGAACGTTGAGAAGGTGCGAGGGGCCTCGGCTCGCGTTTGTGCGTCGTTGGGTTCGGCTGCAGTAGCGTGAAGGGAGGCGCAGCTGCGTAGCTTGCGAGGGTGACGCCGTCTGCGCCGGCGTGGGGGTGAGGGAAACGGAGGAGGCAGTTACTTCTGCAGCGGAGCGGTGGAATGGACGGGGGGCGGGCGGAGGTGCGGAGCGGCACGGCCGCATGGGCTGTTCTCGTGGTCGCCAGCGTCATTTTTGCCCTCCTCCTCGCCAGCTTCATTGCGCGCTGCGTGCTTGGCGCCCGGGGAGCCGCCTCCCGCCGCCGCCACACGCTGCTGCTGATTGGGCTCTGCGGAAGTGGGAAGACGACGCTGTTCGCACAGCTGGTCGCGCAGAAGCGTGTCTCCACGCGAACGAGCATGGAGCCCAATCGTGCAGCCATGCGGCGGCGCACACCCGCTAGTAGCACGGAGAAAGGGGTGTCTTCGCCCGCCGCTCCGTCGATGTTTGCAAGCGGCGCGGACGCGTCTGTGCTGGTTGTAGACTTTCCTGGGCACCGTCGCCTGCGCGGGTTGCTCTTGCCCGCACTCGAGGAGGCGAAGAACGTTGTTGTGGTGGTGGACGCCGTGACCATTCAGGACGACCGCCATGAGGGCGCCCAGGCGCTCGCGGAGCTGCTTCTCTCTGTCTTTACCTCCTCAGCGTTTTACGGTGTTCAGCGTGTACTGGTGCTGTGCACAAAGCGGGATGAGCTGACGAGCTACTCCGCCAAGGCGGTACGGAAGCTGCTCGAGGCGGAGCTCACCCGCTGCATCGCCTCGCGCCAGGGTGGCCTGCAGAGCCTTGACAGCATCCTCAACTCGGACGGGGTTGTGGTGGGGCGCAGCAAAAATAAACCGGTCGGTGGCAGAGGCAGCGGCGGCAGGAATCGCCGCGCCCACCAACTATCGCTGGGCGACGGCGGCAGGTTTACCTTCGACGCCTTTCCCGTCCCTGTGCGGTTTGCGGATGCCTCCGCCATGGTGGATCCGGCGCGGCACCCGTTCAACGTGGACGCCGTCTGGGACTTCGTGGAGGGGCGCATCTGACGCCGCCGCCGCGCGCGCGCTCCCGCACTCTCCCCCCTCCACGCAGGGGCGCGCAGGAGCTGAAGAAGCGGGAGGAATTCAAGCGGGGGAGGAGGAGGAGGAACGAAAAGGAAACAGAAGGAGAAAAATAAAACAAAAGAAAAAGCGTCTGGACAGGCATGCCTCATTCAACTCTACCGGTACCGGCGATGCTTCCCTGCCTCTCTGCTCCCACCGGTCGTTTCTCCCCGACGGCCACGTTGCTGGCCCGCGCCACACTGTTTTTTGTTTTTGTTGCTTTTATTTATTTTCCTGCTGCGACTCTTCGCCGTCTGCGTGCGAAGGAACCACACGGGAAGCCACAAACAAAAAAAAAAGGTTGAAAAGGAAGGAGGAGGGTTCTTCCTTGCCGTGTGTGCGTGTGTGTGTTCAGCCGGTCCTTCGCCTCCCCTGTGCACGCGGCCCCGCAGGATGCAGAAGGGGTCGAGTCTTGCAAGCCACGGAGGAGTGCGGCCGTCCGCGTCAAAGCATTCCGGAGAGCGGAACAGCACAAGCGTCAAACGCAACTCGCGGTCTAGACGCACCAAGCAGGAGTTGAGCTGCCGCTCCAACGACCTCTGGCAGGAGGTTGAGTCGGCCATTCACGTTCTCGACAATGGCGTGGACCGAACCCCGTTGCCGCTGCAGAAGCGGTCAAACGCCAAAGGAGTCCCCCGTGACAGTCATCAGGCCAGCACTTCCATCAGCCTGCTGCTTCCGGTGGAGAGCAGTTCGGTCTTTCACTCCTCGTTGATGAACAGCAGCTCTATGGAGGCGTTGAATCTCGCGTCGAATATGAGCCCGTACAGCCCATCACATACCGGCGCCTTAACGGCGTCGACGTCGCTGACAAGCGTCTCGGTTGACCGCCGTCCCTCTGTTTTCTCTTCCGGCTCTGTCTCTGCCACGGGTCCACTGGTGCCGCAGCATGCTGGGACGTTGCAGATGGAGCTGGAAGGCATCGAGGCTCCGCAGAAACCCCCCTTAACACGCGAAGGAACGCGCAAGTGGTTTGAGGATAAAACAACCATTGTCCTCTGCGAGACCCCCACGATTATGCTGTACACGCACCAGGATGAAATAGTGCCTAATGAGCGGAGGGAGGAGGTGCGGCAGGTGCAGCAGCGCAACGCCGCCTACACGGCGCTAGTGGAGGCAAAGCGCGTGGATGAGGGCACGCGCTTTCAGGAGAAGGGGGCCTGGACCTTCCTGGCACCGAAGAAGTCGATTCACTGCTCCATTTGCCCTCCAAGGAAGAAGAATGCGGGCCCGTTGCAGGTGACGCCGTGGATGCTGCGCGACCAGTTCGCCGCACTCACCGTCGACGACGCAGACGAGCTGGAGGACGAGGAGGACAGGGACGACGAGGAGGACGGCGAGCTGGCGGAGGCCGCGGAGGAGCCGGAAAGAGAGGCTGCTTCCGAGGGTGCGAGCGGGGCACACAGCACCCGGTCGAACGCGCGGTCGGCGGTGTCGTGGATGCTTGCGGACTCCCTGCTCTCGACGCTGCGAGTCATGGAGCGGGTTGTTGTGCAAAACACGATGGAGGAGGTGCAGCTGTCGTACCGAGGCATTACGATGGACCCCGCGGCACGCCGTGTGCCGCGGCCGCCAGAGAAGGAAGAGATCGGCAACGTGGACGAGCACGAGACGGCCGTGTCGGCTGAGGTGCAAGACGCACATGAGACGACGGCAGCGGCGGCCGCCACGCCTGCGGTGAAGGCGGAACTTCCTCCACTGAGGATGTCGGAGGACATCAAAGGCTTGTGGACCTTTCGCTCCCCGCTCACGGCGGACCGCGCCGTGACTTGCATGGCGTGGAACTGCAAGGAATCCGACATTCTCGCCGTTGGCTACAGCGCGGTTCACGCAAAGGAGGGGCAAGGCGTGGCACATGACCCCATGTTGCACGGTGGCATTGTCTGCTGTTGGTCACTGAAGAATCCCCTCGCACCGGAGCGTGTCATTCGCCTCAGCACAGAGGCGGGCGTGTCTTCGGTGGCGTTCTCGTACGAGCACCCGAGTCTTCTCGCCGTGGGTAACATGGAGGGCGGCATTGTCATTTACGACATCCAAAAAGACACAAGCACGCCTGCCATAAAGGCAACTTCGACTAGCGGGCAGCACACTGGGGCGGTGTGGGAGCTGAAGTGGGTGGCGCGTGGTAAAGAGCGTGGGGAGTTCCTCATGTCCATCTCCGGCGACGGACGTGTGGTGCAGTGGGCGGTTGGAAAAACACTTGAGCGTGTGGCCCCAGATCTCATGACGCTGAAGCGGCAACACGGCGCCGCCTGTGAATCCGCGTTTGCGGACGACGGCAGTAGCGCGGGCAAGGGCAACGGTAATGGGCAGCAGCGACGCAAGATGGACGCGTTGTTCTCGCGGCAGTGCGGTGGCATGTGCCTGGACGTGTCCCCGGCGGACGGCACGGTGTACGTCGTCGGTTCCGAGGACGGCTCGATTCACCAGTGCAACAAGAGCCAGACGGAGACCTACGAGTTGGACTACGCCCCCCACTCGGAGCTTGTCTACCGGGTGCGGTGGTCACCGTACAGCGACGCCTTTTTCCTCACCTGCTCCGCCGACTGGAGCTCGCGCCTGTACCGTCTTGGGCAGTCCGCCCAGCTCCTGACGTTTGATAGCCCGAACCAAAACGCCGTGCAGGACGTCGCGTGGTCCTTCACAAACTCCACCACCTTCGCCACCGTGACGGCGCAGGGAAACGTGGAGATGTGGTCCGTGACGGACTCCATCCGCCCCCGCTCCACCGCGCAGTTTCTGGATCAGCGCCGGCTCGCGAGCGTCCTCTTTGCGGAGCAGGAGGCGGCCGTGCTGGTGGTCGGCGACGAGAAGGGCGACGTCACGGTCTTCCGTCTCCTGGCGCCGTGCTACAGCAACATGAACATGACGGCCGACGAGCAGGAGCAGCAGCTCGAGGAGGCCATCCGCAAGGCGATCTCGTAACTGCCCGGCGGAGCCGACGAAGCGGGCGGCAGGCGGAGGCTTAAAAAAAAGAAAGAAAAAAACATCGAAGAGAGAAAAAAGTAAAAACAAAAACAAAAAAAACAACAAGCAACAGCAAAGGAAGCGAGTCTGGGGGAGGCGCGAGGGGGAGTTTCCCATTTCATTCTCTAACCCGACTGGCGCCGTCCTTTGCAAATGTAAATGATAGATAGAGAGAGATTGGGAGAGAGCAGCACAACCCTGCAAAATGAGTTTTGTGCG